ATAAATCGTCATGTGGACCACAGAAATTGGATACAGAAGGGGAATCAGAGTTTGAGATATTTGAAAGAATAGATGAGTCAGGCGTGAAGAGTCGAAGGTCAGAGCAAGTGAAGGTCGAAAGGAAACGGTGACAGTGGCTAATAAATTAGCCAACTTGGCAGTTCACCAAACAGCATTGAAGGAACATCCCTAAGAGAAAGAAATTTTCAGCCAGGAACACGATGCATGAACGATGAGCCCACCGGGACCGTTGGATGGGAATTGGTGAAGATCCCTCTAGGCACCGCAGCTGAATGTTACGACGAGGATGAAGGGGAATAAGGACTTGGTGGACGTTGAAGAGGCGTTGATCCGTCGATTCTATGCCCCGATAGAAAGGACCGGCAGATGTGAGAAGGTGGTTACTAGTCAGCCGAGCGAGACTCAGGAGAATTAGTGGAGAGGACATATGGCAAAGTACCTGAGAGTATTGTCCAACTTGGAGGACCCCGAGAACGGAGGAAGAAAGTCAAGGCCACAAATCGAGTGTGTGTGAGAGACTTTGAAAATGAAAACATAATGCCTAGTGGACAACTGGTAGAGTCCCCGAGCTTGGCGCCGCAACAAGGAATCAGAGCATGAGGACTGACTTGAATACGGCGTGAATGGCTGATGTCCACTGATGGAGCAACGCAGATCGTAGGCCAGCATAGGGAGCAGGGAGCAGAGAAACCTGGCTGAACCCTCCGACACAATATTTGAGTCGAGTGGCGACTTCACTTGAGCATGTCGAGAGGCGTTTTGGCCAAGGGTCCCGATGGATCTGTTATCAGTAATTCGAGGTAATCTGTTCCAAAAGACGAACCAGAACTAGGAAGATTGAGTGGGTGTAGAATGTGGAATAAGTATGTGTTCAATGCAGGGGAAATATTGATTGAAGAGCCTTGCTGTGAATGACGTTGCCGCGATTCAGATTAGCCGCACTGGCTGGTGCCGATGGATGTTGACCGACCGGAGGCTTGTAGGCAAGCCCACTGGCAGCAACATAAACATGTAAGAAAAGGTGAAACGCGAAAGGTCGTGAGGCATCTGGAGAGTTCAGGGATTCGTGGCGATATTCATTCTTCCCAGCATCGACAGAAGACGATTGTCAAGGGTTAATGATCATTGAGTCTACGGTCAATCATCAGCTCTTGAGTCTGGTCAACTGCAATGAAGAGCTAAATACAGACGTGAATTCAGAACCTAGAAATTAATGGATGATCCCAGCGGGAAACACAGTCGCAGAATGAGATCTTCGAAGAGAAGAAAAACGACTAGGATTTGAAGTCATCTAGAAGAATTTGACAGACTAAGGCGGAGATTATCGGATACTAGAGACAAATAAGAGCCAGTCAAATAAGAGAGGCGAAACGGGCGGCCTCTCGAGCAGATTGAGAAACGGATCGACGAGGTTGCGGACAAGAGCGGAATGACGGCATCACACGTGTCAAATTCGGATTGACTCCTCCACCCTAGTCTCTCAGAGCCAGACCTCAACACGGTATGATCTCATACCTCGATGTGTTGAAGTCTGTTATTAAGTGATGGGTCCCGATTGGGGTTGGCCCTTGTTACATAATCTTCGCTTAGCTGCCCTGGTGCCGTTTTCGCTTAGAAATGACCTGTCTCTTTAAAATTTGTTGAATGGCGCTTGAATGAGTGCAGGGGCTCATCCTTCAATGTGATGGGATATCAACGGGCCAAAACCCATCAATTTGACTTGTCAATAGCTTTGTCCCATGGCATCGCAAAAATATGGAAATATTTGGGCACACATTAAACATCTGTTCCTTGATGACTTGAATATTCCCAAGATTTAAGAGCGGGGGCAAGGGCCTCAAGACGTGATTATGTAATAAGGCTCAACCCCAATCGGGACCCATCACTTAAAAACGGACTATCTCCACCCGCTGAAGCGCTGTCGAGTCTTTTTGTTTCGCTTCTGGTTTCCGGACTCGATTTCACCAGCCACGTCGCAATAACGGCCTCAAATCACTTCGGCTTTCATCAACACGCCCTCGAGCTGAAAGTCCATTGAACTTGATTTTACGGGACACGCACCTGGGATTCCTGGCATCTGTGTGAGCATCTTGCATCCGAATCGATGGAATGCTACGGAAGAGTGGCTTTTGGCCGTTCCGTAAAAACGCAAGTGGCGTCCCATGTCCCCGACGAATGAGTTCGAGGATGAACGGCGGCAACAGAGTAGAGATGGGGACGTCGTCACTGTGCGTGCTCTGCGCTTAATGAGAACCCCGACGTTTATTTTACTCCACAGGCTACGCATTTCTGGCTCTGAGTCTTCTTGCGCCCAGCCCCAACTTTTTCTCCCCGCAGGACTCGACTTTTTTGGGGGCGGGGGGGTTGAGTTTCTTTTGCACGGGCGCTCGAGTTGCGCGCATCACAACTGCCCCACGAGGGTGGCGGTTTTTAGCACGGGATACCGGAAAACATCGAATTTTAGGGGCGGGGATCGCGGGAATAAAAGTGCGTCGGGACCACCATAGTCGCTGTCCGGTGCCGGTTGACAATGTCCAAAATTTCTCGTGGATTCCTCGTGGACAGCGGAAGACTGTCAAAAGCGTTGGGAGGAACAAATCTTGATGGAGCCTGCAGGACTGGCATGCTTCCATTTCATTGAAGCAAGCCGAATTCGGTGTAAAGTTGAACCATACTCGATCAGGCTCGGCCATCTATGGTGCACATGGCCTAGTCACCACCAAATTTGGATGCGGCGATGAGGTCGAGTCTGACTTCGATTTTTCTTTATCCCTCTAGCAGAAGTAGTTGTATTAGTACTATGAACAATATGGCCAGAGGAATACTTGAAATACTGAGCCATTATTTTTTCGCTTCCAAGAGATTGAGCGCCTTATGTAAGCACTACCATATCGGGAAGTCCCGCATCAATCGGACAATCACGTGTTGATCTCGCCCCCTATGTCGAGCCACCGGCCCTGCACCTCGGATACTCGCCAGTGCGACTTGTACTCACGCAAGCTGAACTTCTGTACCCATGCCTGTGCATCCTTGCAATTCATCCCATCCTTGTAAGCCATAATCAATCCACCTCCACATGCAATGTTCCCATTTCCGTATTGTGTGGATGGAGACGGAAGCAAGAGCATTGGGGAATTTTTTTTTGAGACCATCGAAGCTGTAGTCGCAATCTTCGCGTAATTGTCGCTTCACGGCACCCCAAAATAATTCGATCGGGTTGAGCTCGCAGTGATATTTTGGGAGGAAGATACAGAGATGTCCGGTGTTCTCAATGGTTTCCTGAACACGTGATAGTGGAGCTTTAAAGTCTGGTTGCCATTCGAGTATCCAGCGGTTGAAGCAGTGGGATACACCACCCTGCCAGGTGGTCACATCATCGTCTTCATTCTCTTCTCCTTCGTGAAGGACGTCGAAACGGGGTTCGGGGTACAGGGATATCGCTCATAATATTAATGCATGGCGGCCTGCCCGGGCGCGTTGCACAGCCGCCACATATTGTTTTCGAACTCGAGCAGATGTGTAGAATGTAGTAGATATGAAAAATTATATTAACTCGACCCCAACTTACTTCCCACCCGCCCTCGTACAAATTAAAAATTGATGTCCCTCGAGATTGAGCGGTGGCTGTGCTGATTTGTAAGCTGTTTGCTTTTGGTGGTGACTAGGTCATGTGCACCATAGGCGAGATTAAAACCAAGGCCCTGTTACTGAGAGTGATATTTCTGCTCCTTATAGTGGCTTAACATTCAACGATGGACCATATGTTCACGCAGCCCAAAATGAAGCGAGACCCAAATAATTGACCGTGTCGACGAATACATGCGTTCTGAATTTCAGAAAAAGTCAACCGACACGTGTGCGAGTCCCACGTGTACGTGCTGACGCCTCGCGCCGACCTCGGTTAATCATCCTGCATTTTTCGCTGCACCGCCCATGTCCGCCTCGTCGTCCTTCTGCTCAGCACGCCGCCTGGCGCTGCACCCGTCCGCCCTGAGTGACGCGGAACACGCCCTTTTCGCCGCGAGCCTCGCCGACCTCGTGGACACTACCGGCAACCTGAAGCACGTCAGCGTGCCCGAGGTGCGTGCGTGGCTCTGCGGGCGGTACGCAGCCCTGGGATCGGGCTAGGTCGATGAGGTGCGTCTCGTCGTGTGGTAGTAATTAATGAAATGAAATGAAATTAAATTAACCCCCCGCAGATCCTGCACCTGTTCGCCCCCCGCAAATATGCTCAGCAGCGGCTGGTGCTCCACGTGCAGGCGGGGCGCGGCGTCAACCGCGGTCTTGCCTTCGTGCAGTGTGCGTCGCGCTATTATTGCGAACTCATGGACTGATCCCAACTGATCCATCTGCGATGGCTGGATAATGATTTGTATAATCGAGGCCCAAGTTGTGATTCAGAGTTATTGAAGTTATCATAGGCAGAGAGCAGAGTTTCAGGAAGTCAACAGGAAGTTATATTTTGCTTGGAAATAAGTTTTGCTCTGGGCTGAAATCCCTCTGGGAAGTTGAAACTTCATGAGGTGGTGAATTTCGAAGTTGCCTCCAAATTAATTGTGAAAATCAAGCACTGCGGCGATCCCCAAAACTTAGTGGGGAAAAAGCGGGCTAGAATCATGATGTTAATTTATTGGGTTCAAAACTTAGTTGAACAAAAACTCCACTAAAAGATGGGAAATATCTTTTGTAGTTTGTCCAACAAAGAGTCAGGATTTTATTGCCAGTTAAAGTAGACAAATAGTCCAAGTTTTTGTGTTGATTTTTCAGCCAAAAAAAGACAAGATCTTTTCAGAGGAAACTTTGGCCCCAGATTTTTCTCCACTAAAATCCCATCTTTTAGTGGGGGAAGTTACCACGGTAAAAGGCCAAATTTTACATAAGATTTCCCATCAGACTTTCCTCTACCTGCTATATTCAACTAATCAGCGCGGAATCCCGCCTCACACTAAAAAAATGAAAACAATTGTCATAGCAGACGATGGCTCGGGCCCGAGTCGAACGGGCGGCTCCTGCATATTCAAGGACGATCCCATATATCTTGCAGGCGTGGAAAATCCACCACCGAGCCTTAATCCACTCCTTCTGTCCCTGAATTAATCACAATAAAATAGGGTGCTTCACAGAAAAAGAACGTGATAAATACAAGTAGAGGGATCAGGGCTCAGGCCCGAGTCGAACGGGCGGCTCCTGCATGATGAGAAAGTTGGATCGTGCATTGCAGGCGTGGACCGTCCACCGCCGAGCATTGTATAGCCTTTGATCATCCAGATGTAGTTGGAAGGAAAAAACCATCCTCCCCGCCAAAAGTGGTGCTGAAATACCGCATGGCTCGAGCCCGAGTCAAAGGGGCATAGCAAAAGCGCTCAACAATATGCGTGGACCATTCACCACCGAGCCTTTCCATCCCTCCTCCGTTGCTGAATTAGTTCGGACGAAAGCGACGGCACCGTTGGATAAAAAGTCTCTGCAACCAACTATGAACGGCTCGGGCCCGAGGCGAACGGGCGGCTCCTGCATGAGAATTTCTTGAAGAAGGTGATACATTGAGGCGTGGACCGTCCACCACCGACCCCTTTCCCTATCCTTTATTTCCCTGGATTAATTCGAACAAAAGCGGGAGCCCCTAGCAGAAAAAGGCAGTACTAGGGAAACATGGCTCAGGCCCAAGTCGAACGGGCGGCTCCTGCATATTATAGAAGTTCGACTACATATCTCGCAGATGTGGACCGTCCACCGCTGAGCCTCCCTATCTCGTATTTCCTTGGAATGCCCAACCAGGGGCGCAGGCAAAAGATTCGCTCCCGAAATACATGTATGCTCCCGAGTCGAACGGGAGGTGCCTGCATAATCCCTGAGGTAAAAGCTATTTTGTGCAAGTGTGCACCGTCCACTGCCGAGCCTTGTATAGCCTGTTATCTTCCTGAATTAATGACCACAATAAAGTGGGGCTCACTGTAAGGGTTCGCATCGGCTCTCGGCACCGAGTCCCGAACAGCGCAGCGCGCCGCGCGGCCGCAGGCTTGCGGCGCGGTCAAGGCGCGGTTGCGCAGTAGATTGCAACAGCGGCACAGCGCTGCCGCAGTCTGCCGCAGTTATTCCGTAGTTTCCGTAGTTAGTCCTAGATAGTATAAATAGTCAGTACCTACCAGTAGTTAGGCATCCTCGTCAAACACGGAGCTTTACCGACTCAACATCTCAGTCTAAGTAAAACTCACCCGACTTGGATCACTGTGTTCTGCGACTTCTTATCCAAGAACTCCGCAGCCTCACATTTTTTTTGAGTCCAAAATTTCTCTTATTTCGTGTTGACTTCAACTGGACTGATCATCCGGTTGGAAACGCGCAGGCGCAAAAGTAACATTCACTACGCGACGTACAGCATGGTGAATATGCGCGGGAAGATGTACACTTCGGCCGCGCTTGATATTCGGACTTCCCAGGACAGTGTTCTGGTGGAAGCGGCCGATGGTAGTGCCCCGCTCGAGCATTTGCGGGGTAGCCATGAAGCGGAGGGCGTGCTTCGAATGGAAAGCATACCGGCTTCAAATCTTGGCGCCAAGAATGGGGCGCCAAGTGATCGGACCTCAGTCGCGAGTATCGCGCAGGAGGCGGCCGATGATGCCCAACTCAGTGTTGAGTATGGAGGCATCACAGTCGAGAGCTTGCTCGATGTACTGAGCCGGACAACTGTATTCCCAGGTGCTGTGAATGTCCTGGATGTTCCCGCTATCAGTGAATATGCGGAAGAGCGAGCAGAGTCTGACGGAATAGACTCACCTCGTGGCTCGAGTTTTGAGCCAGAGGTTAATGATCAAAGCTTGCTTGAAGCCGTGGACACGCAAAGTCCGGAGGGCGTGTTTTTAACCCCGAAAGTTACGGCTATAAAGGCTGCGAGGGTCTCACAGCCTGTAGTAATAGGAAATAAGTTTTTTCCTACCTGGTTCGCGTCGAGTTCAGATGCAGAAGAACCAATGGACAGAGGAATAGTCCAAAGTTTGTCGCCGCAGAACGATGAATCTGCCGGAGCGACATCTTCCATCAAAGGATATTGGATGGATGGAATCAGATTTATGGCAGTAACGGTAGAGGTTCCAGACTCACCGATTGCAAAATCCAAGGCAGCGCGTGAAAAATCCGCACGGATGAAAGCCGAACGTAACCGGCGTGCAGGCAGCAAACCGAAAGAGTTTATGCGGCCTGCATCACAACTGCCGGAGGGCGGATGGTTCAGGGCAACTACAAGCGAAAGTAGAAGTCCGCCTACTTCTGATTGTTCGACATCGGCTAGTCCCTCGACATCTGGGAATGAATCCACGTCTTCTTCCGAGAGCGAGGACTTCCGTGCTGCGAAAAAGAAGGCTCGTAAGAATTGCAAGAAGAAAGGGAAGAAGAGGGAACAGAAGACATCGAAGGCTACGCACGGTATCAAATTGAACCATCCATTCGTTTGGAACGGCAAACCGGACATCGACGTCTTTGATCATTGGACGTTCGAAGTAGATTCGTGGATCAATCTCACTGAATTATCGGATAAGTTGGCCCTGAAATTATTGGTGAATTTCATGAGTGGGTCAGCAAGCAAATTCTTCATGCAACATGTAGCGACGTGCCTGAAGCAATGGACGGTCAAGGATGTCTACATAGCGCTGTTCGATTACTGTTTTCCGGCTGATTTCAAACAGCAATTACGGATGCAGTTGATGAACGCGCGCCAAGGCCAGCAGACAGTCCGAGATTTCGCACGGCAGGTCCAATCGCTTGCGAGGAGAGTTCCTAGCATCAATCAAAGGCATTTGGTACAGATCTTTTGGGACGGCGTTGAACGGAACATACACGTTAAATTGCTTGATAAAGGCATGACTCCCGAAGATACGAGCTTGAAACGGTTGATGAAATGGGCGTTGCGCTTCGAGAGATCAAAGAGCATTATTGATCACATGACAAGTGACGCAGAGGGCGAGGTGAATAACGGCCTAGAGACTGTTGAAACAGACTTGGAAGATGATGAATATTTCGAAAGAAGTGTCCCGAGTAGCCGCCTCAGGCACGATGAAAGGAAGGAGCACCAGAAGGGCGAGTTGGCGCATGGTGTTTCTGTCGGGGCAGCGAGATATGATTCTGGCAGTTCTTCAGATTCAGAAGAGCTCTATCTGTCCCCCAAGACGTCGAGGAGGCGCCACGTTATTCATACCGCCGAGACGACTTCGAATCCGGAACCCGAGGAAAGTGATGATGAGAGTTCGGAGCAAGGAGACATGCCCGGATCAGACGGTGATCACGGCGCGTCAGATTCCGAATCCGGTTATTAAACTTGCCGAGACGCGACGCGATTTTTGAAAGTATCGCGTTGCGATCCTTGAGGGCGAGTGTAAGGGTTCGCATCGGCTCTCGGCACCGAGTCCCGAACAGCGCAGCGCGCCGCGCGGCCGCAGGCTTGCGGCGCGGTCAAGGCGCGGTTGCGCAGTAGATTGCAACAGCGGCACAGCGCTGCCGCAGTCTGCCGCAGTTATTCCGTAGTTTCCGTAGTTAGTCCTAGATAGTATAAATAGTCAGTACCTACCAGTAGTTAGGCATCCTCGTCAAACACGGAGCTTTACCGACTCAACATCTCAGTCTAAGTAAAACTCACCCGACTTGGATCACTGTGTTCTGCGACTTCTTATCCAAGAACTCCGCAGCCTCACACTCACGCCCGAGTCGAAGAAAGATGTGTGGCTGCAGGGGTATGGCTCGGGCCCGAGTCGAACGGGTGGCTCCTGCATTATATATCCTGGAAGGCGAGCGATGCTTTGCAGGCGTGGACCGTCCACGACGGAGCTGTTGACTACCCTCCTCCATCTCAATTAATCACAAAAATAATGGGGTGCTGCACAGAAAAAATTCTTCAGAGGCATCGTGGCTCGGGCCCGAGTCGAACGGGCGATATCTGCAAAATCATGTAAATCGATGTAGTTTTGCAGGCATGGACCGTCTATCCTCCCTACCCCTGATTTTCTCCGAATGCAAAAGGCAATGGAGCAAGAAAATAAATTTGCCACCATCGCATGGCCCGGGCCCGAGTCGAACGGGCACCTTCCGCAGATATTGATTCTCTAAGAGACCTTCCCACATCTGGCAGATTCACTACACTGTGCTACCGAGCCGGTAGACGCATCGTCGCATCTACAACTTCATCAGGTTGACAACCTGAAGCGGCGATCAAACAAAGTCACACGCGTCACACCACGCCACGTCGAACGCAGCGCGTCCATTACCAATCCAATCAAAATTTTCCTTTGTCTTGCCACCATGGCCATGCACCGCCTCCGCCCCGCGCCCGCGTCGCCCACGCCGTTCTCCGTGTCGTCGCTGTCGTCGCCCGCGCCGAGCACGCCGTCGCGCATGTGGTCGAGCGTGCCCGCGAGCACGGCGCCGTCGTCGCCCGCCCCGGAGTCGGACTCGGGGGAGCGCATGAAGGCGGAGGAGGACGAGGTACGTCGCGCGTGGAGAGAGTGGTATTCAAGCTGAGGTATTTGGTTTTACAGGAGGACAGCCCGTTCCTGATGGGCGTGCCACTCGCCGCACCCACATCGCACGCCGACGAATCCAAGGCTGACGAGGAGGTGCAGGAGAATGAAGAGGAGGCAGAAGAGGACGAGGACGAGGAAGACGCGACCCGGTACAAGCAGCTCGAGCGCGTGCTGGAGAAGAGCGCGATGTACAGCGCGCTGCTGAGCGCGCAGATGGCGGGCGCGAAGGCGCGGCACGTCGAGTTGCTGCGCGCGCGCCGCGTCGAGGCGCAGGCCCAAGCGAACGCGAAGGCGAAGAAGGGGAGGCCGGCGAAAAGGCGCAAGGGCGCGCGCGGGCGCGTCGTCGTCGAGGACGAGGTGGAGGACGAGGCCGGAGGAGAGATGGGAGTAGAGGAGGACGCAGAGGGCGCGTTCCCGCAGCCGGCGCTGGTGACGGGCGCGCGGCTGAAGGACTACCAGCTCGAGGGGCTGCAGTGGATGGTGTCGCTGCACGAGAATGGCATTTCCGGAATTTTGGGTGCGTTTTCTTTCCTTGCTCCCCTTTCTATTCCTTCCTAAC